TTTCTTGGTGAGTACAGGACTTTCCCCTTTCCATCCTCATTCATAGCGAGCAATACATTTTACATCTCGACCTGTGTGTACGTACATTAGTACATAGTTGTTTATATATATCTCATAGATGTAGATTGGATGTACTTATATACCCAGATATACACATAACGTATATAAACACGATCTACCACATTCTCTACCAAAATATATATATATATATTATATATATATATTTTTGGTAGAGAATGTGGGCGATGATTAATTTAAGATATTTTGACTTACAATTTTTTAACATTATGATGGTGTAAAAGCGATACAAATTGAGTAGTAAACAGACTTCGAATTTTGAATTATGATCTTGGGCTGGGGCAACAAGCTGCAACTCCCAGTCAGCCATGTGATCAGCAGGGTAAAGAACCCTATACTCCACAGTATATTCATTGTGTGAGATGTTTTTGCCCAACTGTAGGCTCAGGTAAGTGTTCTGAGCACGTTTAAGGTAGGCAAGGTTAAGCTATTGTTGTTCAGTAGGTTAGGTGTATTAAATGCATTTTCCGTTGTTTATGATATTTTCAACACAATGGGTTATTGGGACATAACCCCATCATAAGTCAAGGAACATCTGTATTACCCCATTTCACAGATAAGGAAACAGAAGACTTCAGAGGTCATATAGCTGATAAGAGAGAGCTGGGATTTGAATTAAGGTAACGTCTGACTCGAGACTTCTTGTTCTTTATCACTAATTGCCTGTTTTCTAGAAAATGAGCCAGGTACGGAAAAGTAAGAAGAAAAATTAGCCAAAGTTTCTCTCCCCTTAGGCGCTAAACACTGAGCTGTCTCCTCCTTTTTTCCTTTTAAAATTGCTTTTATTATGAATATAACATAACATTGTAGGAAGATACATCAAGCAAACATAGAGCTTAACAAATTATTACAAAGCTAATGATTGCATAGCTATTGCCAGGCAGAGAAATAGAAGTTTGCCAGGCCCCCAAGCTCCCCTTCCCACCACTCTGCTCTTCCCACCTCCACAGGGAGCTATTATTTTGACCTTTATGGCAATCACTACCTTGCTTTTCTTTTTAGATTTACAATCTAGGTATAGATCTCTAAACACTATAATTTAGTAAGTTTTGGACTTTTATACAAATTGAATCATACAGTGTGCATCGTATGTATTCTTTCCTGACTGGCTTCTTTCATTAGGCATTATGATGTGAGATTCATCATGTTAAGTTCAGTGAGTAGCTGTAGCTCATTCATTTTCATTACTGTATGGTATTCTATTGTAAAAGTATACCGCATTACATTTATCTAGTCTACCGTCGATAGACCTTTGAGTTATTTCCAGTTTCAAACTATTATAGATGATACTGTTAGGAACATTCTTGTACATATATATGTCTTTGGGTGCTTGTAGGAGAATTTGCATTTCTGCTGGGTATATACCTAGGAGTGGAATGGCTGGATGTATACTTGAATAGCTAATGTATACTTGAATAGCTAATAGCTAATGCCAAATAATTTTCTCAAGTGATGGAACCAGTTTATACTCCTAGCAGTGTGTGAGAGTTCCTGTTGTTTCACATCCTTGCTGATACGTGGCATTGTTAGTGTTCTTTTTTGTTTATATCAAAATAGAGCAATTTATTCCAGACACTGAATGTGATCTGTTGATTCAAATGAGCTAGGACACACAAGGTAATTCCTTTTTCAGAGTGTCAGGGCTGGGGTGGGG